GGTGGTCAAACCATAAAATCATGGTTCGGTGGCTGTCACGTTTCTTCTTTTATCTTGATCGATACTTCATCTCACGGAGGTCGCTTATACCACTTGAACAAGTTGGGCTTACTTGCTTCCGAGATTTGGTAAAATAGCTTTTGCTCTTGTTCAATCTCTGTGTTGCAAACTTTCTGTGTCCTAATCTGACCAACTCATAACAGATATACCAAGAAATCAAAGGACAAGTTAAAGGTGCAGTGATAGCTCTGGTGAGTCAGCATTCCTACATTGAATTGGGAAAATGATTTTGCGCGTATACTTAAATAGTTGCAATACCTTTCTTTGACAGATTGACAAAGAGCGTGAAGGCGAACAGATAGACAGGGCCCTGCTGAAGAATGTCCTGGGCATATTTGTTGAAATTGGACTAGGCAGTATGGAATGTTATGAGAATGACTTTGAAGATTTCTTGCTTAAGGATACTACAGATTACTACTCTCTCAAGGCTCAAAGCTGGATTCTCGAGGACTCTTGTCCTGATTACATGATAAAGGTACATTTGAGGAGGATCTTCTGACTGGTTCTGTCTGTATTTGTAAATGACATCTCTGGTGTAATAAATGGGTGCTGTTTTTGTTAGGCTGAGGAGTGCTTGAAGAAAGAGAAGGAGCGAGTTGGTCACTACTTGCATATTAGTAGTGAACAGAAGTTACTGGAGGTTTGTTTGAGAATTCCCTTTTCCAGTTTCCAATCACTTCATGTTGATGAGTGCTTATACTTGCATTTGAGATATGTTCTTACAGATTTGTATTTGGACTGCCATATCGATGTTTCTTAAATAATGTTTGGGCACTTTCCCTGTATGGTTTGGAATATCATCTCATATTATTATCCTTCCTGGATTGTCACAGAAAGTGCAAAATGAATTGCTTGCACAATATGCAACTCCCCTGTTGGAGAAGGAGCATTCTGGGTGTTTTGCATTGCTTCGTGATGACAAGGTTTGTTGGACAACATGATTCATTTCTTAACCGTATATCATGAAAACAAATAATATTGAATACCCATTATCTTCTCCAGGAGGAAGACCTTTCTAGGATGTACAGGCTCTTCTCCAAAATTAACCGCGGTCTAGAACCTATTGCTAACATGTTTAAAACGGTATTGCCTCATTGCCTCAAAATTGGTCTGCTTATTCCCTATAACCTTTTTGTGCATTCTGATTAAATTATTACTTCTCTGCAGCATGTTACAAATGAGGGCACAGCCTTGGTCAAGCAAGCAGAAGATTCTGCTAGTAATAAGAAGGTGCGGTATTTATTTTAGCATTTTTCTTACTTGTGTTCCATCAAAGTATGGTTATTAGGATTGTGATTTGTGCATGCCAGATTAGTGCTTTAAATTAGCTCCCTTTAAACTGGTTTCAGTTGATCAAACAGAGGTCGCTGACTGTCTCTTTCTATTTAATCCTGTAAAATTGTCCTTTATTCTATAGTTTTCCTAGTGTGCACAATTCCTGACACGGTATATGCTGTTTCTGGTTACACTCAAATGCTTGATTCCCTTGCATTTATTATTAGTGATTCAAATTCATGTTATTTGATTTAGTTTTTTGTGCTCTACTGTATAAAGAACCTACTGGTGACGGTTGGTGGGATGCTATGTGATTCTTTAAGATTGTTTTTGCATGTTGCTTGTAGAGTTGCAGTTAGATTATTTATGGGTTTATATTTGATTACAATTATATGTTTCCCTGAGAAACATTATATCTTTAAGATTGTTTTTGCATGTAGCTTGTAGAGTTGTAGTTAGATTATTTGTGGGTTTATATTTGATTACAATTATATGTTTCCCTGAGAAATATATAGATCTTTTGAAGTTCAGAACTTTTGATTATTTCAAATTCGTTGCAACAAACTGGTATTTAGCTAATATTCTAATATCAACTATTTGTACAGCCCGAGAAAAAGGACATGGTTGGTATGCAGGAACAGGTACACAACTTGAACTTCTTGCACTTCGTTGGTGATGAAATGTTTTCCACCTAACATGTGATTTTCTTTTTAGGTTTTTGTCTGGAAAATCATTGAGCTCCATGACAAGTATGTAGCTTATGTCACAGAATGTTTCCAGGGTCACACCCTCTTTCATAAGGTCTGCCAATCGACACATTCCTATTCCTTGTTGTTACCATTGGTTCATTAAGTCAAATGTGATGCCTCATTCTTAAACTTCTCATTCTACAGGCCCTTAAAGAAGCATTCGAGGTCTTCTGTAACAAGGGTGTCTCTGGCAGTTCAAGTGCTGAACTGCTTGCCACCTTCTGTGACAATATTCTGAAGAAAGGTTGCAGTGAAAAGCTCAGTGATGAAGCCATCGAAGATGCTCTTGAGAAGGTGCATGTTCTCCCTTCTCTTTTGCTACCATTATTAAATTTTTGTAGAAGGAAATCTAAGCTGAAAATGAAATATGATTCAGGTGGTGCGATTGCTTGCATACATCAGCGATAAAGACCTCTTTGCTGAGTTTTACAGGTAATGTTGTGTTATCTTGTTTTAAGCCTATATACCTCCTGAATTTAAGAAACATTACTTTTTGGACTTTGTATTCATATTGCTTCATGTGTGGAGCTATTTGCAGGAAAAAACTTGCAAGGAGATTGCTTTTTGATAAGAGTGCCAATGATGAACATGAAAGAAGCATACTTACCAAACTCAAGCAGCAGTGTGGTGGACAATTTACTTCTAAAATGGAGGGAATGGTTACTGATCTTACTGTTGCAAGGGACCATCAAACTAAGTTTGAAGAGTTTGTGGCTGCACATCAGGAGTTGAATCCTGGGATAGACTTGGCTGTCACTGTTTTGACAACAGGATTCTGGCCAAGTTACAAGACTTTCGATATTAACCTTCCTGCTGAGATGGTAAGTGACTTTTTCTTGCAGATCTTTAGGGTTCATCATTACATGCTTGTCAATTGTCCTTGATAATGTTAAGCTGAAACATGATCCATATTTATCTTCTTTTCCATGAAACATTTATTGCCATGTGATCCTTTTTACATGAACATTTGCATTTATCATTTTTAGGTGAAATGCGTGGAGGTTTTCAAGGAGTTTTACCAAACAAGAACAAAACACAGAAAGCTTACCTGGATATATTCCTTGGGAACCTGCAATATCAATGCAAAGTTTGAGGCAAAAACTATTGAGCTCATTGTCACAACATATCAGGTAAATTTAAATTATATGACTGTCAACAGATCTGTTGCACTAAAAACCTTTATGATACTTTTTTGACATGCCTCTCCTTTTGCAGGCTGCGTTGCTGCTGCTATTCAACGGATCTGACAGGCTTACTTATTCTGAGATTGTAACACAGCTAAACTTATCAGATGATGATGTAGTGCGTTTGCTCCATTCTCTCTCCTGTGCAAAATACAAGATTCTTAACAAGGAACCAGCTAATAGATCTATTTCTCCCAACGATGTTTTTGAGTTCAATTCAAAATTCACTGACAGGATGAGAAGAATTAAGGTATTTCGTGTTTTTGTGTTTTGCGTGTTGGTGGGCCTTCTTTCTGGAGTATGAATGCTATGATGTTAATGGTTGTATTCTTCATATTATGTGCAGATACCCCTACCTCCTGTTGATGAAAAGAAAAAGGTTGTCGAAGATGTTGACAAGGACAGGCGGTATGCAATTGATGCATCGATTGTGCGCATTATGAAGAGTCGCAAAGTTATGGGCCATCAGCAGCTAGTTGCGGAATGTGTGGAGCAGCTCAGCCGCATGTTCAAGGTACCGACTACATATTACTTCTAGGAAATCCCACATATTTTAATCCTTATCACATCTTGTATAGTTGCATATGAGTACAACTCATGCGGCATATTTTTGTCTTCAATGCATCTTGAATTAGCTGATGTGCTAATGTGTTCTGAGCTCACATGTCAATCATTTTGAATTAGCTGTTTTTCTTTCATCTCGAGAAGTTGTTCTTATCATAAGGAAGAAGTTATTTCTTTTAAATTAGTTATATGACTACAGTACACTGCATTCCCTTACTTTGGTTTTTTGTCCACTGCAGCCTGACTTCAAAGCCATCAAGAAGCGAATCGAGGACCTCATCACAAGGGATTACCTGGAACGCGAGAAGGACAACGCTAATGTGTACAGATACCTGGCTTGATTGGTGGTTGATGCTAAGTCAAGAAACAGCTAAGCTTTGCTGACTCGCGAGCTTCGCTGCAGCGGTGTCATGATGCTTCATCAACGATTTCGTGGTCATGCGGTGTTTTTTTGGGCATTTCTATGTTACGATGTACCGCGGTCTTCCCTGGCTGCAGCACTGGCTGGTCTGGTCTCATTTTGTACATGCGTCATCGGATAGGAGAATGATGATAATCTCAAAGATAAAACGGTAGCAGGGCATATCGGCTGGATAAGTGAGGCACTTGGTCACTGTTAAGCGCAGGTGCTAACCATGCCGTTATTATGCATATCATCAGTATGCTTTTATGTATGTCCTTGGCACTCCTGAGTTAACCTGGATGCTAAATGGGTATTTATTTGCTCTATGAAATAGTAGTATTAAGTGAATCTTACATTATTTGTTCTCGTTTCATTTGCCCTGTGCCAGAAAAAAGAAAAAAATGCGGTTTTAGTTACGAATTTCCTATGCGAATGTATGAGTATGTCTTAATTTAACCGGTCGCGCCGCGTCGATGCGATATTGGGTTTGCTCTTGATCTTCATTTTAATCACCAGGATGGCTTTTGTTTTTTTTTTTTAAAAAAAATACCAGCGCTGTTGGTTCTGGTGTATGGAATCGTTTTCTTAAAAGCACACTTGTTTTTTTTCTCCTGGTGTGTTTCTAGAGGTTGAGAAGTGCTGACTAGTTTCGGTCAATTCGGATGAAGATGTTGGGTATGGTTTGGATTTTAAACGAAAGCGATCTTGTAATTGAAAGTTCGATCTTGTAATTGAAGCACTTTTGCTAGTTGAGAACTCAACATGTGGAGGTTCAAATGCACGCCTTGCTCAAAATTTTCGAATTGTTTTGCGCTCGGCTGAAAATAAAATAAGTTTAAGGCTGAAAGCAAATCCTAAAATCCCAAGTTGAACTGCTCAAATTTTCTGCCTACGTATCCTACCGTGTTGCTCTAAAAAAAACATAATGTAACACATTTTATCACTCGCCGGCATCGGGCGGCATCACGCAAGGCTCCGACACGGCGGGGCTCGCCGCCGATGCCTCCAGGAACCGCCTCTGCTTCTCGCCGGCGAGGCACAGCACCGACGCCTCGCACACCTCCTGCGCCGGCGGCCGCGGCGGCGGCGCCTCCGCCGGCCGGAACCGCATGAGCCGCGCGTACTCGGTGAGCAGGTGGAGCATGTAGTCGTAGACGGCGTCCATGTCGAGCTCCTCCATCAGCCGCTGGCCGCGCCGCCCCACCGCCTCCGCCTCCGCCGGGTGCGCCTCCCCCCACTCCACGGCGTCCCTGATCGACTCGCACATGCCGCCGGCGGCGACGTCGATGTGCACCGGCCAGAAGTTCACCTCCGGCCGCAGCCCACGGCTGAAGAAGTCCTCGTACTGCGGGTCAATCACTAGCGCCATGGACCCACATGACAGTATGTACTTTAGGCTCACCGACCACGCGAACCCCTCCGCGTATATTTTATACCTGAAACAAAGGTTTGGGTTGAATTGATCGGTGCATAAAACTAAATCATAGGGTTTTTTTAACGCCACGACACCGTTGCGTTACCTATGGGTGCATTGGCTGGAGAGCTTGGAGTTATGGTACCCGGACTTGACCTCCTCATCCCAATTCTGCATTCATCATAATGTTAGTCAGTTTTATTAACCTTTATTACTATCTTAGTTCTAAAATACTTTATGTTCTAATTAATAGGTAAAAGTTACGATACTTTATGGCATAGGTAGTACAATGTAATACTTTCGGTTATGATTAATAGCTAAAAGTTACGATATTTTAGGATGGAGAGAGTATAATGTAATGATTGATCACGTGTTTATTTATGTGAGTGGAATATATACTTGGCGCATGATCTCGGCGTGCCACATGTTGGTGTCGTTGCAGTTAAGCAATGCGACCCTCAATGGCGACGCCACGTCAGGGTTGCCCTTCCAGTACGCCGTTGCCACTCTGTCTTGCCATTTGATTGCCTTGGCCCCTTCCTTGATGTCCCTGAACTCCTTGCTCCACGGCTCGATGTTCGTTTCAGGCCTATATATTATGTAAAAATACATAAAACCTCAACTCACATTTGCTGAAAAACAGAGACTTTACCCAAATCGGTCATAGAATCGGAACCCGAGCGAATCACTACTTAAAAAAACATCAATGCATAATCCTTTCTCTCTAATTTGTGATTTTCCACACCATATTTGATATTTTGTAGAACCCAACGGATAATACTACTCTCTCTGGTGGGAAATACTCGATGTTTAGTAAACCATTAAAATTTTGGCCACTAATCATAACATTGGTAGAATATGTCTATAAAATGTAACAAATTTATGATATAATGGAAAGTGCATTTTGAGGTCAATTTAAACATACCATATTTTCTATTCATGAACTAAGTTTTTTTTGGGAAATTGTAGATGTTAAAAGTTCTAAAATTCTAACTAAATCATGTTCTAAACTCAAATATTTTAATAGTACTACTGTCGTACTACTGGGAAGAAGACAAGCAATAAGACAAAGTAAGTACTCCCTCCGTCCCTCCGTTTCAGGTTATAAGGCGTTTTTAACTTTGATCAAAATCTAACTGCTTCAGGTTTGATCAAGTTTGTAGAAAAAACGTAACATTTTCAACCGAAGACAAATTTATTATGAAAATGTATTCAATTATTAATTTGATAAAACTAATTTAGTATTATAAATATTATTATATTTGCTTATAAATTTAAGTTAAACTCGAAATAGTTTAACTTTAACTAAAGTTAAATCGTCTTATAATCTAAAACGGAGGGAGTATTTTTTAATTCTTACCAGCCCCAGAAGGACCAATCAGGGAAAGGGATGTCGAAGTGGTTCCGGGTGGTGCAGTAGCGGAACAGCGGCGGCGGCGGCGAGCCGTGGTCGCCGTCGCCGCCGCCGCCGTAGTCGGTGCGGTTGATGGCCGGGCGGTCCATGCAGTCGAACATGAGCTCGACGTCGGGGACGCGGCCGGGGTAGCGCCGCATCAGCTGCAGCAGGCTCCACGCCGTGAACAGCGCCCGGCTCTGGACGCACGCGTAGTAGAGCTCCACGTGCAGCCGCCGCCCGCCGCCGGTGATGGCCACGCGCATCGACGCCCGCCGCTGCGCCGCGTCGAGCAGCGCGCGCGTCACGCCGCCCCCTCCGCGCCGCCACGGCGCCAGGTCGCGCCGGATCGCGCCGAAGTACGCCGGGCACAGCCGCGGCGCGGCCGACGCGTTCGCGCTCGCGTTCGTCGTCCCCGGCGCCGGCTGCGCCACCGGCGGCCGGCAGGTCAGGGACGGCGCGCACCGGAACGCGGCGCGCGCCGGCGGCCGCCCCTTGTCGTGCTTGAACAGGTGCCACGGCGTCGGCTCCAGGTTGTGCCCCAGCAGCGTCGTCGTCCTCGACACCGCCGCGTCGTACGCCTGCACACACGCACGCCATGGACGCCGCCATCCACAGGTGATCGATCCGATCGAACACGCCAAGAACAAGACTACAAGAGTGAGATCGAAGAGACGAGACGCCGCACGCACCGAGCGGAGGATGGCGAAGACGACGACGGCGGAGAAGGCGGCGATGGTGGACACCACCAGCGACGTCAGCGGCGGATGCCGTGCTGCGCGCCCACGCCCCGCGCCAGCAGCTGCGCCCGCCTCCGCCGCGTATCCCGCCATGCAATTCTTGGCTCCTCCTCGTCGGCGGCGTCGTCGTCGGCGTCGGCGGCGGCGAGAGTGGAAGGGAAGGCGTCACGACGACTACTAGTGTGGTGGGTGATGTGATCCAGTAATGCCATTCTTGGCTCCCCGAATTTGTGCATGCTTTGCCAGTGTTCTCTCGCTGTTAGTTATAACAGCGGTTTTTAAGTTTTTACCCGGTCCTCCTAGCTTAGCACATGGTAATGGTTGAGTAATTACTAATTAACGTCGTCATTATTATTTTTTTGTTGGATCTGTCCGTCAATTGTGCCTAGAGATTCGTGCGGGCTTTTCGAAATTCGAATCGAACAATGGGTGTTTTATTTGGTGTTTGTACTCTTGCACATGTCTTGGACTGGTACGTGTACCAACGGGTACGGCATATATATGATTTTGTTTTTATCCATTTTGTTTTTTTAACCAAGCACTTGTTTGAAAGGATTGTTTTGGTTGCAGCTTATAAACCGCAGACATGTGATGGATGCAGTGAAAATAATTAGGTTGTAAGAATCTTACTCCCTCCAAATTTTTTTTATTTGACATTGGTTAGCTCAAAATTGAACTAACCAACGTCATATATTTGTGCAAGGAGGTAGTACGTTTTATTCTTTATGGTTTTAAAATGTAACATTAAGTGATGAAAACAGCGAGTGAATACCTCTAAATTAACCCTAAATTTTAGTTCTAAAATTCAAAAATAGTTTTGTCTTACAAGTCGGTGCTTAAATATTTTTAGGTGTAGTTATAAAATTTCGGTGATACCAAACCTAACCAAAAACCATCACTATTTTGGATGACTTGGTACCAATCCTTGAGGGAAATTATGCCGAGGACGATAAAATACGCTTTAAAACCATATTTGTTTCAAACAATTATTTATATGCATTTCTTAGGGGATTCGTGTACCAATTCCCTCCAACAAGTAACCAAAATTCATTCAAAACGCAAAATATCTCAAAACAATTTCGTAGACAACCTTGAGTCTAGTTACATGCCCTTTTTTCTATTAAGGTTTTGTTTAGTTCTCACACAAAAACTTTTCACCCTGTCACATCGAATGTTTAGACACATACATGAAGTATTAAATATAGACAAAAGATCTAATTACACAGATTGCGTGTAAATTGCAAGACGAACCTTTTAAGCCTAATTGCATCATGATTTGATAATGTGGTGCTACAGTAAATATTTGCTAATGATGAATTAATTAGGCTTAAAAAATTCATCTCACAGTTTACAGATGGAATCCGTAATTTATTTTGTTATTAGACTACGTTTAAAACTTTAAATGTATATCTGAATATCCGATGTGACACGCCAAAACTTTTCACCCATAGAATTAAACAGGGCCTAAATTTCTACTATGTAAGTTGGCATAACCTACGCCACAGAAGACATTTATGCTATACCAGGGATATGGATAGCCTCCAGCTAAGGCATCTTGCTCCACTATGGACCAATCATCCAAAAAAACGCAAAAGGAAAGGAGAGAAAAAAAAAAAAAGACCATTCCATCATAGAGGTAGCTAGAGCCTTTGTGGCCATTTTTCTTTCAATCCATTTGTGTGCACTGTGCAATAGCATCCTGTTCCCTTGTTGTCGCCAATGGCAGAGTCGCTACCACATGGAGGCTGGAGCACTGATTTGGACGCGCACTGATGGTGGTCCAGAAAGTTGGCATCTAGGGATCTACGGTTGCACACTAAACCGTCCCGTGGTACTCCAGATCAAGATTTCTTATGACTGACAGCTGGGTGTTCAGCTTCAGAAATCGGTGAACCGTAGCTGTGATTATATTGATAAGTAATATTTAGATAAATTATTTTGTTTTTATTTTAGATGAAATATACAAATTGAAATAACTCTAAATCCAACATGGAAATAACTCTAATTTAACTTTTAAACTCTAAATCCAACGTGGAACGTGGAGTTGTGTCATGCCATATATGACCTAACGCACTTGTGATGAGTGTACTAAACTCCTACTACTATTACTATATTCTTTTGAACAATAGTAAAGTGCACAGCTAGTCCTTAAAACTTTACGTGGCCGTGTCATATATGTCCTTAAACTCTCAAAACACAGATCTAAGTCCCAAAACCTATTAAATTGTGCCCTTTTGTGTCGCAAACCGCCACGACCCCTCCAAGATCTATGTGGTGCTCACGTGGCATGCCACATGGATGCTAATGTGGTATTATCACTAATTCTACACCAACTGATAGTCACATATCCCCCTCCCACTAAGACAATCTCACGAGCAGCCGTGACTTGTTCTTCCGGCACCTGATAGTAACGGGTGGCGCTGTCCCTCCTTCCGTCTTTTCGCTAGCACTAGACAGCAAGAGCTTGCTCCAGAATTTGCTATAGCCATCCCACCAACCCTTGTCCCCATGTCGCTCCCCACCGTTTGCTCTTGCTTCCTAGGCAGCGGTGACGAAAGCGCCTCTACAATTCGTTTGTCCATCCTAGCCTCCAGGCTCCGCTGTTCTCCCACCCTTCTTGCTTCGCCACCATAGTGGTGTCCCCTCCGGCCTCCGCTATCCATCCACCCTCGTCTGGTGGTGTCCCCTAGATGGCTTCCACGATGACCATGAGCAGAAGAAGAGAAAAGAAAAGAAAAGAAAGAGAAAAAAAAAGAAGGAAACAAAAGAAAAACGGAAAAGAAAGAAAAAAGAACTCTTAGTGGACCCACTTGTCACTCGAGGTAGGATAGTTGATTATAGCATGTCAGCGTCTATGTGGCAAACTATATAGGATCCCTATGAGGTCATTGCAGTTTGAGATCGAAATAACACAATTTAACAAGTCCTTGGACCTATAATTGCGGCATTCTAAAAGTTTAAAGATCTAGATGATACAATTATACAAGTTTAAGGATCAGCTACACTCTTTGAGCAATTAAGCACACAACATTCTAAAAGCAATTACTAATTACTTCGAGAGACCCATATGGTTCTCATACAAAATTTGCCAATTTTTTTGGTAAATTTTATCACCTGATCTATGCTTGGTCACTTCCTACTAGGGGTGAAAATGGGATGGGTATTACCCGACCACCCACCTGACCCGAGACTCGCGGGAAGAATATGAGAGAGAAAATGGAATCCCAGATACTTTTCGAATCCAAATCCATAAAAAATTATGGGTTAGGATATGTGAAGACTTGTATCCGCCCGTATGTTATAAAACATATATGAACATCTATTATAAATCCACCTACAAATATGATGATAAACGATTGGTTAATCACTATTTTACGAGCTCACATGTAATATTTTAAAAGATTTTCCTTGATATATCTCTTTTGGTACTTTAATTGCCTTCTTATATTTAATATTTATATACTAGAGATACAAATAGTTTATTCGTTCTTGAATCTAATTCAAATAAAATAATATGGAACATGATATAGTATGAGTGATATGTTATCCGACACTATCAGTATCAGGATCTGAATTTGGAGGAAAATATGGGATATGATGCATAGGTCGGCACACCCGCCTAGGGTACGATTGTATGACTAATTTGGTTTATATTTTCTCTCATAGCATTAATTAAAAAATGGGAAAGGAGCTTTTATTAGAATAGTGCGTATCATGGGTACTAGCATCACTGAAATATGAGTCCCACTCTATTATGATTCACGTGTCAGTGACACAGCTGTAAATTACACAAGCCACTGAAGGCTCATCCATTAATAACATCCTACTCATTAGGTCAACATAGGAGTACTTTTTAATTTTTAATGTATGGCCTGTATGTAAAACAATCGTTAGTAGTACTATATGGTATGATATCTTAAACGTCACAAATTAGAAGAATCATTAAGAAAAGTCAAAATGTACCCTGCATGAGAGTCGTTAATAATATTACTGAGGAATTGGGATAACAATTTTGTTTTGTCCAACCAGCAAGGCATCGCATCATTAATGATACGGAAACTACATGTCGTACGAATAAATAGGACAAAACTTAATTAAAAAAATCTATATAGTTTATTCATGTATATATAACAACACGATCTATTACATTATTATATATTCCTACTGACAAACCGTGACACACTAAAATACCAAACTATATACTGTAACATAACAATAGTTGTATTCTCATGACAATAATAACCACTTAAATTTTGTAAGGTCACCTATTTTTTTATCTTGAATAGCAAAAGCGGTTATGTATAGTTTATGCAACTAATCAATTAATTAATTCACAAATAAAAGTCTATTTTTAACTTTAAGCAGATTTTGGCGCCTTGACGGCCTCGAAGCGTGGCTCCTTCGCATCGAACTTCTGCTTGGCGTACACATCCATGTACTCGCCGAACACGTACTCCGGGTACTCGCCGCCGGCGCCCACCGCCGGCGAGATGGTGGCCTCGAACGCCGGGTTGTAGAACGACGCGACGGAGCGCCGGTTTCCGTCGCGCATGGGGAGGACGCGGTGCCACGCGCTGCGGTAGCGGCCGTTGCTGAGCACCTCCACCTGGTCGCCGGTGTTGACGACGATGGCGTCGGCGAGCGGCTGCACGTCGACCCACTCGCCGCCCCTGAGCACCTGGAGGCCGCCGACGCGGTCGTCCTGGAACAGCAGGATGACGCCGCCGGCGTCGGTGTGGGCGCGGAGGCCGGTGATGAGGTCGGGGCGCGGGCACGGCGGGTAGTGGCTGACCTTGGTGCCGAAGAACGGCGCGTGGCGGCCGTCGCCGGTGAAGGCGCGCCTCATGCGCCCCTTGTCGAGGCCGAGGTTCTCGTCCATGGCCTCCATCACCCTCTCGGCGAGCCCCCGCAGCGCCGCGCGGTACTCGCGCATCGTCTCCTTGAACTCCGGCGGGTTCGACGGCCACTGGTTGTCGTCGTGGAGGTAGAAGATGTCCTCCCAGTCCATGTCGTCCACCGGCGCCGCCGCCTCGCCGCGCCGCTCCGCCGCCATGAGCCCCTCCAGCGTCCTCACCGGCTCCGACTCCATGAACGCCGCCTCCCGGAGTCGGTAGCTCTCCAAGCACACCTTCTTCACCCGATCAAGAAGCTCCTTCGGGACGCCATGGTTCACCAGCTGCAATGATCCCAAGTGATTATTAACCATCTTAATCATTAATCAACATGATGGATGCTG